CTTAAAAAGGAAATGAGAAATTTTCTCAAAAAAAATAGAGGAAAAAATTTGAAGCCATCAGTAAATCCCTTAAAAAAATTAAAAAAAAAAAAAACAAGAAAAAGCAATCAAACATATGAAAGAAACTAGTCAAGACTTGAAAACTGAAATAGAGACCATAAAGAAAACACAAGCTGAGGGAATTATAGAAGCAGAAATCAAGAGAAAATGATCAGAAACTGCAAATGCAAGCATTAACAGCAGAATACAAGAGATGGGAAAAAATCTTAAGTGCTGAAGATACAATAGAGGAAATAGACTCATTTGTCAAATAAAACATTAAATTTTTAAAAGGCTTAAACCAAAATATCCAGGAAATATAGATAAGAAAAGACCATGCCTAAGAATAATAGGTATAGAGGAAGAGAAGTTCAACTCAAAAGCACAGAAAATATATTTAACAAAATCATAGAGCAAAACTTTCCCAACTTAAAGAAAGATATGCCTATAAAGATACAAGACGCTTAAAGAACAACAAATAAACTTTATCCAAAAATGTCCACTAGCCACATGATAATCAAAATACTAAACATATAGAATAAAGAAAGAATATTAAGAGTTGCAAAGGAAAAAGAAAAATAACACATAAAGGCAGACCTATCAGAATTACACCTGATTTCTCATTGGAGACAATGAAAGCCTGAAGGTCATGGTCAAGCATTATACAGACATTGAGACCAGAGATGACAGCCCAGACTATTATACCCAGCAAAATTTTCAATCTCCATAGAAGGACAAAACAAGATATTCCATGACAAAATCAGATTTAGCCAATATCTAGCCACAAACCCAGCACTACACAAAATACTAGAAGAAAAATTCCAACCCAAAGAAGTTGACTACATCAACAGAAGCACAGACAATTGATATTCTCATATCAGCACATCTCAAAGAAGGGAAAAACTCACAAATTAACATCACCAGCAATGAAAACTAAATTAACAGGAAATAGCAATCACTGGTCATCAATCTTAATATAAATGGACTTAATTCACCTATAAAAAGACACAGGCTAACAGATTGGATACAAAAACAGAACCCATCCTTTTTCTGCATACAAGAAACACACCTGAACCTTAAAGACAGACATCATCTCAGAGTAAAGGGTTGGGAATAAATTTTCCAATCAAATGGACCTAAGAAACAAGCTGGTGTAGATATCTTAGTATCTAACAAAATAGACTTCAAACTAAAATCAATCAAAAGAGACAAAGAAGGACATTTCATATTAGTCACAGGAAAAATCCATCAAGAGGAAATCTCAGTTTTGAACTATGCCCTAGGGCACCCTCATATGTAAAACAAAGACTTCTAAAGCTTAAATCATACACTAAACCCCACACAGTAGTAGTAGGAGACTTCAACGCTCCACTCTCACCACTGGACAGGTCAGTTAGACAAAAAAAAAAAAAAAAAAAAAAAAAAAAAAAAAAAGAACAAAGAAATAAGGGAACTAACAGAGGTTATGACTCAAATGGACATAACAGATATCTATAGACTAGTCCATCCAAATATAAAAGAATATACCTTCTTCTCATAACCTCATGGAACCTTCTCAAAAATTGACCACATACTTGGCAATAAAACAAACCCTAATGGATAC